GGGCAAGAGGAGATCAAAGTTTCACCACCACGTCCACCTCATAATCATAATAAAAGCAGCAGAAAAACAATGTAGTGCGAAAGCAGACACCAAAATTACAAAATGTAACCAAATCCGAATCGCCATCGATCGAATATACTGAAAATAATCAGTTTCAAATTTAATACAAGTTGGAGTGCCTTTCGATTTGTTAAGCGCTGTTGGATTGTACCAACGTTTTCCACGTCTGCTTATGAACACTAAACAGGTACAAGTAACGTCGAGAACTTGAGGGATTTCTGGTTATATTTACAAAGCTGTACGTCACTTTGTCTCATGATACTTGAGCATCACAAATTTCATAACTCTTGAAGTGTAACAAAGATGTGACTGATAATTTACCTGCAACGCTGGTTTCGGAGCCGTCCAAAACATCAATCAGTTCTGAGGAACTTCTCCTCTGTACGGGTATGTACGATGCTTTAGCAGACATTTTTCACAAGAAAATATTACATGTTGGAGCCGATGGGACACCTGCCGAGATGGGCCCAGACCTCTCGCACGACATTATCGGAAACGCTGCTTCCTCTGTCAGTCATCTGCGTCTGGAGTTGATAAATATGCCTGAATTGCATTCTATCTTAATCCATTACCATTGTTCTGTTTGTTTTGCTCTTGAATCTCATACTTCTCGAAAACTCTTCCATTTGGTGCCCAAAAAAGAGAGATAGGGGAAGGGGGGTTGGCTGGGGACACGAAGATGGAGTTTTTTGTAGCTTACTTCATCCTAGCATTTTGGAAGTGTTCAGGTAATGGGCGAAGGCAAGTTTGCCATTTTTCATGATGCCTGAGCTTTCAGATAGATTTAAGGATAGCTGTTTTTTGGGCAGGAGGGGAAGAAATGGGAGGTACTGGTATTTCTAAGCTGCTGAATCTTGCCATCTTATGCATCCCATGGCACAATTCGGACAGATGATGAACATTTACACCTTTCTTCCAGCCAAGCTTGTTTCCAAAAGGCTACAATCCAAGAATTGTTTTTGGTTCATTTCTTTTAGAAATTTTATCTTAATCCAAGATATAACTGACCAAAACTGAGTTAACACAGCTACATGTAATAAGCCTGAAGGTGCAAGCTAAGAGAAATGTGCAGACTTCAGGCACCTTGGGTAACTCCCGGAGTTATTTTTGTATTATTATATACAGGAAACAGCTGCGTTCACAACAAAGATACTGTAGCACCTAACAGGAAATTTATTTTGGGGTTATAAGGGTAACGAGAAATAAAATAAAATAAAATAAGATTAATTTTACATATCATACTATGCAGTAAAACATAGTAAACTCTTCAGGCTTTTTTAATATCACAAATGAACATTCATCATGGAAACACTTGTTACATAATGATTTTGAAAATGCCTCGCAATGGTCCTAATCTCATCCATGGAAACTGATAACACTATAAAATGACGTAAATCTTCCAAAAGTTAGGTCTATAGAACAGTACATATTTAGCGAAGACATACTCTTTCAGTTTAGAAGATTTACACTATACACTATACACATCGATAAGAGCCACTTTGAAACTTCTGAATGATTATTTATAAAGTAGCATATTTGCCCTAAAAGCTTTCTTTTTGAGGCAAATATTTGTTTTAAGAACACCAAATTTCCATGGGGTAACTATCAGCCGATAGTTCCTCAACAGAAACACTCTATTGTTTAAATAGAACAGTATGATGCAGAATGCTAACTTTCAGCCATGAAGTTTTAAGTGTTACAGAGTTTACTGTCCTGCTCAATATATATTTGCTATCTATTAATTACATTTTCAACTACGAAGAAACTCAGCTTTTTTTGATGCAACAGAAACCAAACTTAGTAGTACAACACATAAAACTGGTGATTAATTACTTTTTTCCCCTGAAATTATTTCATTTTTATGATTATTTTATTTCTTTCCTCTAGGCTAAGGACATCTTTGGATGTTGCCAAGTTACAGAATGTTCAATCAGAATAAGTTAGAAGAAATACATAAAACTCAGTCTTGTTTCCTTGGGAAGAATCATACAACACTGCTCCACCTCTACCCCCTCCGCCTCAACTTCCACCCACCCCACTCAGGGACAAACTACACAAGACAAAAAAAAAGTTTAGTCAGTGTGACGTTGAGAAAGATAACCAGGTTGTAAGCCAGTAACTTTGAGAAAGTATTCAGTCTTTGTTTTAGAAGTTTTCAGTGAAAAGCTACAAACCTATACTAAAAGGACCTATAAAACCGTCAGCTCGCATCTGTTTACTGGATGTGGACAAAACGGACTAACTACAATAAACGTGTTATTGACTGAAAACATTACAAATCACACAGTTGCAATATATTTACCTCCACAAGCTGTGATTTATTCAATCCTGGGCGGGTTTGCAGTTTATAATGTCGCTTATACCTCCGTAATGTGTTCACCTGTAGTTGACAGAAGTCGACCTGCATAAAAATCAAGAGAAATACACGTCAAAATGTGTTCCACAAGAAAGGCTACACGTAACAGCGTAACGTATGAGTTTTAACATGCAAATGAAAGCAGACTGTAATATAAAGCAGTGAGTCGTTTTAAGTGTTTCATAAGTACGATGATGCAAAATCTGTAGAAATCCTCTGTGTTTGGCTTACCTCGGCAGCTTCACCTTCGTCGTCAGAATCTTTCCGTTTTCTTTTGCTACGAACACTTTGGATCATATTTTTGTGGTGTTCGCAGATGTAGATGTGTCTCGCCTAAAACGAAAACCGTTTGGAACGCAATTACTATAGATCAAAGTATCTAGAGGCTATTAGACCTACAACATGGTCAGCAAAATACGATTTGTGAAGGATTCAATCGAAAAAATTTCGCTTACGTCCCCATCAAGTGACAATTTCAGTTTCCTCTGAGAAACTGTCTTCTGAATTCGCTTCGAATAGCTGGCGTTGCCGGCGGGACGTTTACAGCGTTCGTTGTCTTCTACGAGGCAGCAAATTTGCCCAACAGTAGAGCTCTGTTCTTCCTGTTCGCTTCGATAACCGTTCATGCCTGCCGTTCGCTTCAGGTTCGCTTTGCCGCCGATCTTGAAAATCGCTCCTTTCCTGTTTGTTGTACACATGCGAGTGACGTCATGTCACATGGCTGAACAATAAAGAAAATTGCGCGGTTTTGCAATTTGTGCGGCTCGTCACGCAATATCTATATCTCATCACTTGGGGCAAGATATTTTCACATGTTGTTTATTCTGAATTCTGTGACTGCTTTGTATATTGACCCTTATTTAGTCTATTTTCCCTTCCATAGGGCCTGTATATCCCACCGTCTAGACACACTGCCAGAACCCCTCCGGCGCGCGTTGGAAGCGGAAAAAACCTGAAAATTTCGGAAATCGAATTCCGAGACTGAATGTTCCCCTAAGCGGTGGTAAATACAGATCAAAGAGTTTTTATAAACCTGCAGTAAGATACGACGTATTTCAATTTCCTTCCAGTGGTAGACTGTCCATAAAGTGCCGAAAACATTAGAAATTGAAATGTTAAATCGACTGAAGGACTTTTCTTTTCGGCACAGGTACCCGCCGGTTTGATCTTGCTGTGAGCGTTTCAGGATCGTTCAAAATCATCCCAGTGACCAAATTACCAATAGAAATACAACGCAAGTTTTATTGATAAATCGCTGGGAATTCGTACTTTCTAGACTTCGCCTAGAAGTATTTGATACGTACAGTCGTACAGTTGTACACTGGACACTCGGCTGGGTTGCCTGTGGTTCCCACAACGGCGG